ATCCTTGTGCATCTTACCGACAATTATAAACCTAAAAGGGACAATTACGTGACAGCAACTGCACGCATACACAACAAGTTGTTCGACGTCATGTGTTAGTCTCAGTTTCTCGTCGTTCATTGACGTTTGTCTGCGTCCTCAGAGCCTCTTAGACCAACACATTCGTTATGGGCGCCACTATCAACTGGGACGCCAAGTGCCCCACAACTTTCCCTGGTTGTATAGCGAGTATTAGAAGACTTCACTTGCTGCTTCCACTTGAATGCCTCATGCGGCAGATATCGAAACGAGTCGGACAATGTCATTGCCCGGTTCCACTACGGCGATCTACGACCATTACTATTAAGGCGACCGACTATCAGACTACTCTGATTTCTAGTTCGTAGCCGATTTTGGTTGATGAAGTCTTGAATGAGTATCTTCTTTAATTCAACCTCTGCATGCATTGCATGATGTCTCGATAACGAGTGTATTAGTGCTTATCTGTCCGAGTTGTGTTGACGGAGAAGTTCCAACATTACGAGAGTAATCGATTTTATATCCCAATACGACATCTATTTGGAATGCATAAGTAGGTGAACTGAACATTTCCGAGTTTGAACAAGGATAGACGCGCCACATTTTGAGGCGGTGGGTGGGCCGATGTACGAATTCGCATGAGTCCATGTCGATTCTTCAATGTGTAAATTCAAAATGCTGAGAATGTCGCTGATGGTGAAAACTAACACAAAGACTGGATATTCTTCAACCTACGACAACGTCAGTATCACCCGCGCTGTGATACTAAATCGGAATTTCACGTTTATTACTACACTCAGAAACAACATTACACCCCTTGCAGTTTGTCAGATTGCACAACCAGTTTGAAGCAGGATCGGTACAGTGGTTATCAACATCACCATTCTCATATCGTTCATTTTGTTGCTATGCAATTGAATGCGAGTGTAGCAGTAATTTACTGTAGATTTCATGTGTATTGTGTTATGCCATAGGCGAGGCACAAGGGTTGCGCCGTGAATACTGCACAGTCAGTGTTCGCGGGATGTGCAAACTGTGCGTCAGTAGTTAGTATTCCGAGCGATAGATTTCTCCCGAGTTCAGGGCACTTCCATACTGACGCATTTGGACGATTGGAAATGGGATCCGCGCTCGGAGGTCTACTAGGGATTATTAGTTCAGAGTCCAGAGCAAATGGGAGCGAAAGTTCTACTGGGAGATACCTCCTCAGGGCGGGATGTCAGTCATTAGATAGACCGGAGACGATCTTGGAGGGACTCGAGCCTCCAACCTTTGGTGCAAAAGATCAACCCCCTATCACCGGTAGCAACTTTCAATGAGGCGTACGAGTAATCGATCAACACTACAGAAGCATTAAGAACATATAGTGAGCTCCGCCGGTTCGTAGAGAAGGTCTAGTACGAATTTCACATCACTCCTGAAGCTCAAATATATCCATCCAGACTCTCGATTCGAAAGAGTTTAGAGTGTACATATTATGCGCTCGTATTCGAAAGCAGTTTATAGTGGTCGTCAGCCTATGCTGTCTGTGCTATCTCGATGCCTAGTGATAACCCATCCCGATCTCCTCTCACAACAGCCGGATCCCCTAGATCTTGACTCAAGATCCTGGCAAACCACACATCTTTACGGTGAAGACTTCACCTGGAGAGCCTACCATCTGACTCTCCTCAGAACATGCGAAGAGTGAACGGAACTCTCGGAATGGGATAGGAGGTCATATGATCATATGTTTGTTATCCTCAGTTCAGGTCCAGAATTTCCAGAGCTACACTATGGGCAAGATTGCGAAGCGAGCGGAGCTCATGTTGCAGTTCGTGTGCGTGCCTATTCGGAATAAGGTTCTAGTCTCCAGTACCACCGGAGATTATTCCTTCTCTACCAACTCCACCACCATTTCAACACAAATGAACAAGATATGACCGGAAAGTTATAGTGAGAGATTGAGGCAACAAACTCATACCTGGACTCGTTCTCAATTCTCGACCTTCACAGTGTAGCTTCGAGGCCCACTATGGACGATCTCCCGTCTTTGCCACGAGGTCTCGTACAAGGCCTACGAGTGAAGGTTC